TATATATGTGTCAGTAAATGGGAACACGAAAGAGTATTAGAAGAGGATTTCATGTCCGATTAAGAATCAAAAGGAGGAAAACGAAATGAAAAAAAAATATTCAAAGAACAGCTTTTTTTGCATTGTTTTAACGTGTGAAGTAAGGAAGCCATCTGTGAAATAATTAGAATGCTTTTTTTTACCTATTAAGAGAGCAATTTTATACAAACTTCATCCACGTAAAGTCAGCTATTATATTAAAACCTAGAATGAAAATCATTGGTCACTTTTCATTTTGATTAACAAAGGTAAAACAGGGTTCAAAAGCTAGTTCCCATCTGTTTTTTCCTTTTTTTTTTTTTTGCAATTCTTGTCTTTTTTCATTTATATCCTGAGGAAGTATCTCAAAAAAATGATTAGAGGCCATTCAAAGTATCTCCATGACCACAGCTTAATTTGTCAGGTTTACAGTACATTATGAAATCCATCAAACTGCAGAATTCTCTCAGCTGTCACTAAAAGACCACTTAAAAACGTACCGAAGTAAGAAAAAAGAATTTTAATGTAATCACTGAGCTATTAAGCTAGAATTCAGTTACGAAATGAACCCTTAAAAAAATAATTGTTAATTCATGGTGATCGATGACAAATATTTTTTAATCCAAATGCATTGAGATAAATTTCCATAAGCATATTATATGTTCCTCATATCAGGCGAAAGCAAGGCCTGCAACAAGTGGAACTCTCCACATTCCATACCTTGTTTGGAGCTTTACAACCTCTAAACAAATATAACGGTGCTTTTTTATTTCTTTTGAAACGCTGAACAAAATCCCAACAGTTGCGCAAATTGAAATATATTCGTATCGTGTATTTTTCATATGAAGTGAAAAGAATAGACAACATGGTATGAATTCTCTTTCTTATCAACAAACTGCCTCTCATTTTGCCTGTAGTGTTTTCTATCCTCTCACGCACAAAAAAAAAAAAATTTATGATATCTTTAGAATTTTGAAAGACATAAATTGAAATCCTTGCGTTCTAGATTAGTTATCCTTTTATCCACCAATCAGCTGATATTTTTTTTGTTATCTCTTACAAGTTGCCTGCTTCTTGTTTTGTTCTCTGACGTAAGTGTTATTTGACTTTTTTATTCAATCAGGCTGATCGTTTTCCAAACCTCTCAACACCATTGTTCTTGACAATATAGCGATTTTAGTCGGGGGAAATGAGATTTTGATGAATTAGATAAAGTTTTATCATGAGTTTATTCAATTTTCACTCATTTTGTGTTGTCCTTGTTTTGACGGCTAGCTAGGCGTGAAATGCACATCTAGAGCATAAGTCACAGATGCTGAAAGGAATCAACTTGATTAAACATACTTTGCTGTGGAAAAATATTTTAGAAGCTTTGTTGAAGCAGAACACGGAGCATACATACATAAACAGGATCGACATCTCTACTGATAGTGTAGATATCTAGCAGTAAAAGAAGGAAAGCTCGCCGCCTTTAGATGAAAAGAGCTCGTAATAAAATAATTATGTTGTTCATTAATTTTAAAATTCATCCATAATTCCAAAACCGTCACTACTTGTTCTTATTGGCAAGAGAACAGCCATTGCTCTTTAAAGGACAGGTGTTTCGATCTCTTCCCTATAATTTTGAAATGCATAAGTCATCTTGTTATATTGTACGTTTATGGTGCGAGCTTCGCAATAAACTATTGAAAGTATTTTATAATTTTTAGATGTAGAAAAGCAGGAGAATTGTTAATGTTGCAATTTTGAGGTCTAACCAGTCTCTTTATTCTCAAAGCCAATCAGCTTTAGTTTCTACACATGTTGAAGATAGAAGGAGAAATTGCGCTTTGCAATAATTGTTACATGGCATATCATCAAAGAAATTACATAAGAAAAAAATATTTGTATGCATTATGCGCTATCAAAATATTCAGGTAAAAATAATAATAGACTTGGAATATTTTTTTCCCCACAGATAGACTGCTTTAATTCCTTTTTCGTCTGTTGTTTTACAATTTCTTAATGAATCGTAAACTTTTATTTTTGATAACTGTATGTCCATTACTCTGTGAATATCATTGATTTATCATTTAAAAGCTGACTGCTTCATGTCTAATTTTCGTTCATTTGACTTTCAGATTTACGTCAAACTTGGAAAAACGCACAAGAAACATAAATCCTTTTCGGTAAAATTTGCATTTCCATTGTAAAGTATCATCACAAAACACACATTCTTATATGTCAAAGAATTCGGACCCTTTTCTTTGTAGATCGATCATTACCCTTAACTTTTACTATTTCTATTGCTGAAATTAAACCGGCTTTGGTGAGGAAAAATTTAATTCTGAGAAATAATAAAAATTGATGAAAGAAAATATTCATGTTTCAGTTATTCCGTGTCTCTGTTTCGCAGAAAAGGCGTAATATGCATCACAGGAATAACACGAGAATCACAAACAATAAGATAAAAAATGAAAACCATGCAGTTGAATTACAGAATAATTGCGGGAGATAGAATAGTTCGGAATAAATATTGTGATAAATTTATCAAAAGCCTCGACATCTGTGCAACCAAAGAAGATTATTTATCATCAACCAAAAAAATGCCTATTGCTTTCAAATCTAATTTTTCTAAAGTATAGCGAGCGAGAGGGAATTGAATTAAACTAATATATAGGAAAATAACTGAAAGTAACAAAGCTCTTATGTTTAGTACCTGAATGTTGATTGTCAGAANGTAGACACCGGTTTTGCTTCTGTTTGCCCAAACTTCTCGAGCATCTTTTCGACATAGTGTCCTTGATGAAGGAACATGTAAAGATAAACAATTTTTAGTGTAATAGAAAAATCCGAGCCCCAGATGGGACTTCAACCCACGACCCTCCGTGATCTAGTCGGATGCTTGAAGGAAGACTTGCTTTTTTCACATCTTGAACGATACAGACCCCGAAGTAGTAATTCAGTTCTCCCACATCTTTCATCTTAAACTGCAGCTTTAGATTGTCCTTGACACTTCTCAGCTCCGTGATTTTTCTTGCTAGAATCATCAGATCGTCAACGTGGACCCCAATAATAGTCAGTGCATCCTTTCTAATAAATACGCAGGGATCTGCAGAGGCTTGAATAAAACCAATCTTTTCAATGCACTCCCGAGGAACTTTGTTCCAGCAATGGGAAGACTGCTTTAAACCATACAGCGATTTCTCTAGCTTGCATACCAGATGCTCCTCCCCAGGTTTCACGTATCCTTCCGGCTGCTGCATGTAAATTTCTTCCTCAAGTTTACCGTTGAGAAAGGCTGTTTCTTCGTCCATCTGGTGAATCAGCAAATCATTCTGAACTGCAAACGCTAGCAGACAACGTATTGAAGAGAAACGAACAACAGGCGAAAAAGTTTCATCATAGTCAATACCATATTTCTGGGTGTAACCCTTGGCCACTAGACGTGCTTTGAATCGTTCCACTGTACCGTCGCAGGAGTCTTTCAGTTTAAACACCCATTTGCACCCAACAGCTTTCCGACCTGGAGGTAACTCAATTAACCTCTATGTCTTGTTTTCAATCAGCGAATTGTACTCTAAATCTGTCGCGACTTTCCACTCTGCAGCGTGATCACCCGATCTCGCTTCTTGTATAGATGTAGGTTCATCAATCCCAGAAAGATGATAGGCGGCATGGTGTACGCGGTGAGTTGCCGTGTCTGCGTATTCGTCATAACCATATCTGACTGGTGCTTTTCGTGTTCTTACTGACCGTCGAGGTTTCCCTGGCGAGTCATCTTCTAAATTCTTCATTTCTTCTTGTTCTCCTTCATGTTTTTCAGGGATTACTTCGTTTTGCTCTGCTTCCTCGCTCCTTGGGTCTGGCTCTGTTGCCATGGCTCGCTTCTGGCCGAAATCGTTTTCATTAAACTCCACATCTCTTCGGATATACATCTTTCGGTTCGTCTCATCAAAAAGACGATATCCCTTTGAAGTTAAGCTGTAGCCCACAAAACGCATCTTCCTCGATTTCTTGTCAAGCTTTCGTCGTTCACTGCCTGGTACGTGGGCATAGGCCATACACCCAAATACACGCAAGTGGCCCACATCTGGTTTCTTTCCATACCACCGCTCATAAGGAGTTTCATTCTCTTTTAGCGCCGTCGTGGGAAGGCGGTTTCTCACATAGGCAGCTGTAAAAACGGCTTCAGCCCAAAAGATGTCCGATAATGCCGCATGCGCGATCATCGAACGTGCAGACTCGACCAAAGTCCGATTCATTCTTTCTGCTACACCATTCTGTTGGGGTGAGTGTGGCACTGTCAGCTCATGTCTAATTCCTTTCACCTTCAAATAGTTCCGTAATTCAGTGGACAAATACTCGCCGCCATTATCCGTTCGCAAAGTTCCTATTGCCTTGCCGACATCGTTGGTAACGGAAGCTTCAAATTCTACAAACTTCTCTAACACTTCTGATTTGTGTTTCATGAAGTGTACAGCGCAGCACCTTGAGTAATCATCAATAAACGTAACAAAATACTTTGCTCCTCCAATCGATGGCGTGTGCATAGGACCGCAGACATCACTGTGCACCAGCTGTAGTCTTCGCGTCGAGCGAATCTCTCCCACTGCGGGAAACGGTTTTCTACACATCTTTCCTGCCAAACATCCTTCGCAGAAAGACAGTTCAGTTATTTTCTTGATGTTAATCCCTCGTACGGATTCACTCTCCACACATTTCTTGAGGCGTAGCTCGTGTACGTGTCCAAGACGTTGATGCCATAAGTCGCTACCCTGAGATGACTCAACTGAGACGTACGCAGTGTCCGTAGTGATTGCAACTTGACAGTCTAGTTGATAGAGTTTATCAACCAGTGATCCCATTCCACGAAGCTTTCCATTTCCATCCCAAATACAACATTTTTGGGGACCAAACTCTACAGCGTTGCCCTTAGAAACTGCAGCTCTTACAGAAAAAAGGTTGCAAGTGAGTTTAGGGACGTACAGGACATCATATAAGACTGCTTTCTTGGATTCGGTTGCTTGAAACAGCATATTCATTCGTACACTCCCAGATCCCAACGCTTTCACAACACGGCCATCACCCAGCGCGACATTTTCAGGCTCGGCAAATTCCTGAAAATTCACCAAAACATTCTTTTCTGTCGTCATATGACTTGATGCGCCCGAGTCGATAACCCAAGGAGTTGTTA